GTGCTGAGGCTTGAAATCTGCCCCCGCCCCCCCATAGCCCCCCACACCTCTCTTCTCTCCCTGTACTAGTGTCGACACCAGTGCAGGGATGAATCTGCCCCCTAGGTTCCTGATTCCAAGCCCCAGCCACGGCCTGTCCATTGCATCACACTGAGGATAAGATATAGGCTGGAGCCATGAAGGTGGGATCTAGATCACAACCGTTCCCACACCCCAAAGTTCTTGGGTTTGGGGGAGTGATTGTAAATCAGTGAAATGCAAAAACTAAACAAATGTAAGTAGAGAAAGATGAGGTAGCATTTTAAAGTAATTGCAATTTTAATAATTTAAGATGGTGTTAAATAGGTGCACTAGGTGAGGGGAGCTGTTCATTGATAATAGTTAGTAAAACACCACACAGTGCCAAATTTATATAAGAATAACATGCTTCTGAGAAAACATATATAGGCAAATATTTGTTTCTTAGATCAGTTTTCCACTGAATGTGATCTTGACCTTGACACTGCTTGACTTGTGCTGCTGTAGTGTTTCAGTGAAGACACTACTACACTGATGGGAGAGCTTTTCCCATCAGTGTAATTAATCCACCTCCACGAGAGGTATTGATGGGAGAAGCCCTCCCGTCAATGTAGCGCTGTCTAGATTGGGGGTTAGGTCTGTATAACTGCATCGCTTGGGAGTGTGGATTTTTCACACCTGAGCCACGCAATTATACTGATATAAATTTACAGTGTAGACCAGGCCTCAGTCACTGCACTTGATAAAGGAAGTGCTGCTTGTCCTATCAGGCACGGTAACAACTTCATTAATGTAAATATTCCTGAAAAGGGAGTGTACATTTCATTCCACATTATTTTAGGTTCTCTTGGGCAAAGTCTGAAGTCTTTTTCCACATGCATCCAGTGAATGATCACCATTGTAGCTCTGGGCTGTGGGTATTCATTTATTATCCAGTTACTTCTGCCATGGTATATTGAAAGGATTTAGAGGCAAATTTAACTTTTAACAAAATAATCTAGCTTGTTGCATATCCTGCCTCTGGAGGCATAATTTCCATAATCATGCTTAACTTGGAGAATTATAGAATTTTTAGGTTTGTTGGCAATGAAAAGACTACAATGACCATTCTGTTGCAAAGCCAACACCTGGACTCATGAGCTTGCAGAAATAGTTCTTGAGAACCCAACTTCAGATCTGCATAAACTGATTCCAGGATAGACCACAAGCATTGGATGGGCAAGTAAGGGGTGGGAAAACCTTTCAAGTGCCCTGAGGTATATAGTTTGTCAGCTCAGGGGAGAGATCTCTTGTGAGTTTTATTCACACCCATTTAATAGGCCTAAACTGAGGCACTTGACTGAGTGGTTAGTAAGTATGTTCCATCCCTTCTCTTTCAGTCACAGAGTGCACCAGCCCACTGCAGTCAATTAGATTAAGGCACCAGTATAAGTTGGACAAACGTTCTGAGGTGGGGCAATTACAGTAAAGATATCTCGAAGAATTTAGACTAGAGACAATATCAACTTTTCATTATATTTATTTGTACACAGAATCAGGTGTCGTGGATAAGCAGCTGATATAAGGATAATAGCTAAAAGAGACGTACTAGCTACGCTGATGCTCACCAGATGGAGATCTGCTATTTGCATTAGTTTTGCTGCCTTGTTTAGTGCTGGGACTGAATGGGACTCAAGTGGTGGATTGGGCTTTGTGCAGGTCCTATTCATTTTGATGAATTTCACCCTTAGGAAAATGTACCAACATTTTGCTAATTTTAAGTGTCTTTATATATATAAGGGCCAGTTCCTCAGTTGGTATAAATTGTCATAGCTCCATTGACTTCAATTGAGGATCTGGCCTAAAATATGTAGGGTCAGATTCTGCACTCTGTGCTTTACAATATCAAGAGACATGCATGGGTATAAGTGAGGACAGAGGAGAGACCATGGTAAAGGGTCCCATTCCTGCTCCCATTAAAGTCAATGGGAGTTCTGTCATTGACTTCAGTGGAAGTAAGATCAAGCTAAATATATGTGGCATGTACCAACATACATGTATTTAAATATGAGTTTTGACTATGGCCCTTACGTGCTAAATAATACTGACACCGGCGCACAATCCCCATAAAACAAATTGAACAATCCCCATAAAACAAAATCAATGGCAGCAGCCTGTTGAAAAAGATGATATTTTTGACAATGAGAGCTACTGCCTTAATGTCTTCCTTGCTCGCTGCAGCAGGCACAAAATCCAGACAGAGACTCCTAGCTCAAAGGCTGCTAATCCAAGTTCTGCTGAGTCCACTCTGTAGGCTAGTGCCAATCTTTCAGTCTAGAACCAAAATAGAAAATGATTTTTAATGCATCTCTTTATCCTTGTTTCATTGTATACGCTAATTGGCAACAGGGCCCTACAGAATCATATACTGATGTTTCTCCAAAACGGACAGAGACCGAGAATGCTTTGAGGATGACAGATAAATGCTGAAAGCACTATCCTCTACAGGGCGAGGTTAGACTAATACCATTGATCTAAATCACACAGGATGGTAGAATTATGACACCCCTGGGGATAACATAACATGTAGGCAAAATGGTAGTGGGTCAATGCTTGCCATGGAAATAATTTAAAATTTTCTGGTGGCCTGGGTGAAATGAGTTGTTGATTTCACTCCAGTTCCTAGTGAGCAGGTGTGTGCCTCACCAGACCTATCAATTAATTAGCATCCTTCTCTCCCTTCCCCCCCAATGTCAGAGATCAAAGATTCAGTCTTGCAAGGTGCTGAGCGCTCCGTCCAAACCAGTAAAGCATTTAAGCACATGCTTAACTTTAAATACGTGAATAACTCCATAGGCATTATTTAATCTCAGTGCTTTGTAAACAAATATTTTTACTTAAGCAAAGATGTTTAATAAAATGTGAAAGGAAAAATACAGTTAATAAAATATTAAAGTAAAATAGAAGGAACTTACATCACTGGTGTCATGAGGAAAGGGGCTCTGAGGCGATCTAATCAAAGCAAACTCCAGAGAATAATAAATTGTTCCAGCCACTGCTGTTATTATGCTCAATATTATAGTGACAAAGGCGCATTTTTCCTATAGACAGAAACATATTGTATATTAATTAAATGTTAGTGACTATTTTAATGCATTTATTTAGTGTGTTTAATTAGAGGATCTCAACATGCATTATCAGCATTAATTAACTAACCCACATAATGCCCTGTGAGGCAAATATTATTATATCCATTTTACTGATGGATAAATTGAGGGATAGAACAATTAAGTGATATGCCCCAGGGAGCGTCAGAAATAGAACCAAGTAGCCTTTATTCCTTTAATTAATGACAGGTATTTGCGTAGCCATTTATTCAAAGTGTTGAACAAACTGATTGGAAAGCAGTGTTAATAATGGTCTGAAATTCTAAGTTTATAAAATGTTTTATGAACTTAAGCTGGTACCTCACATTTGCCTATACTCAGCTGGGCTAAGTATGTCCTTAATGTCTGATCTAAAGCCCTCTTTCAGTATTGACTTCAGTGGACTCTGGATCAGGTCCTAGGTTCAGTCTGGACCAGACGATGAACACGTTTTTTTCTTTTTTTATCACGGGTCCTTGGTTGTACTACCTCTATTCCAAAGAAG